GGTAATTATTGACTTCCTCTGAAGTTCTTTTTGGGTTTTGGGTCCTCATTGCAATATACTGAACGCAGATTTGCAGATAACCCATCTATGGGGAATCTACATGTATGAATAGCATGAAAAGACACATGTTCATATATATTATTCTTGTTCTGTTAGCATGCCCGGTTATCCTCTTCAGTGTCAAGAGGGCCTTCTTGCTGAGTAACACTCGCCCCACGTTGGGCGCCAGTTGTTGAGTGATTCCTTCCACGACCCGCGTGGAGTAGGGTTCGGTATCTGAAAGAGGAGCCGCACAACAAATGAAAAAGACACAAGATAATTTTGCGATACCGGGGGACCAGGCGGGCAAGTCCGGAAAGACTTCCTCCTCTGGAAAGACTTCCACCTCCCCCTTCGCTCAGGTCTCTCCAAGCTTTTATTCATCTGGAGTAGCCCTTAGGGTAAAGAGGTTTTAAGGTGGAGATGCTTCAACCATCACCACTCAAACCTACTGGGTAGTTCACAGTTCTAACTTCCAAAAGGTCACCAGCCTTCTCTGGGGGGTCTCCGTCCAAACCCAGCCAGCAAAGATAATGAATGGACTCCGGCACCTTCCCACCCCTGCTCAAGGATCCTTTCAAAACCCTCTTTTTCACTTCCAGCCATCTTTCCCATATAGACATTTCCAAATATTTTCATTTCTTTAAGCCCCAAGATCTTCCACATAGTGTCTGGCACACAGGAGGCAAACAATGCCCATTCCCCTCTTTCTCTCAATCACAACAGAGTTCTACTGGCCTTAATGTGAGACCTTAGAGATACCATATTCAATTAGCTGCTAATTTCTTTTCATTTTATTCTACAGCTAGAGGCCTGGTGCACGACTTTGTGCATGGGTGGGGTCCGGCCAGCTTGCCCCGAGGGGGGCCCATCAGGCCAGGCTGGCAGGGGGTAGGGGCCACAGGTGGTTGGCCAGCCAGCCCTGCCCCGGGTCAGGGTGTTGGGGGCTGATCAGGAGCCGGGCAGCCCAGGGTGGGCAGCTGATAGGGGCCCAAATCAGGCTGGTTGGCTGCCGCAGTGCATGTCATAGCCACCGTTCATTCCGGTCGTTTTGGTCGTTCTGCCGTTCCGGTCACTGTGTGTGTGTGTATATATATATCTTGCCTCTGACTTCTCCTTTTCATTCTCACCACCATTTCCTAATTTAAAGAACTCAATCAGTATGCACATAATAACAATAGCCATAACAGAAGCAGACTAGAAATTGGCTTAAGCCAGTGGAGTTATATGTTTCTTATGGAACACAATGTCTCGAGGTGAGCAGTCCAAAGCTGGCATGGTGGTTCTACAACCGAGACCTGACTTTTTCTCTCTTCTCTGACATCCTGAGCAAGTAGCTTTTGTCCACATGCTCTTTCATTCTGTGGACACAAAGTGAATGTTCCATTTCCAGCACTGCATCTGTATTCCAGTTAGGAGGAAGAGGAAGACAAAGGGGAAGAGACCAAACAGCCAGTCTCATCATGTCTTTCCTGTTTTTAAAGGGCTTATCTAGAAGCCCCACCTAGCAACTTCTGCTTGCAGCTCATTGTCTGGGCTGTGTCACATGACCACTCCTAATTGCTGCTCAAACAAAAGAAGGGCTCTATTAGGAAGAAGGAGAGGATGAATATGGGACAGGTAACCCCCAACGTCTGCCATACTCCCATCATTGCTTACCTATGCTTCCACAATGTCTCCTAACTCACCTTCCCACCTCCGTTCTCTACCTTCGTCCATTTCACACACTGTTACCAAACCAGTCATCCTAGAATTTAGCTTCAAACCTATCACAGTAGCCCCTACCCACCAACTTTATTGAGGTATAATTGACAAATAAAATTGTGTATATTTAAAGTACACAAGATTCTGCACATACATTGTGAAATGATTACCACAATCAATTAACCCACCTATCATGTCACATAGTTACCACTTATTATGTCACACAAGTGGTAGAATATTTAAGATCTTCTCTCTTAGTAAATTTCAGGTATACAGCACAGTATTATTATAAGTACCATATTATACATTAGATTCCCCAGAACTTTTCATCTCATAACTGAGTTTGTACCCTTTGGCCAACATACCCCTTATTCCCCAACCCCTAGCCCCTGGCAACCATATTTCTACTCTCTGTTTCTGTAAGTTGGACTTTTAAGAGATTTCACACATAAATGAGATCATACAGTATTTGTCTTTCTCTGTTTGTGCTATTTCAGTAAGTATATGTCCTTTAGGTTCATTCATGTCTCAAACGGTAGGATTTTCTTTTTTATGTCAAATAATATTCCATTACATTTCACATATTCCATTATATATATCTATATCTGTATATACATATATAGATATAGATCTATATGTACATATATAGATATAGATATTCCATATATTTCATTATGTAGATAGCCAGTTTTTCCAGCACCATTCATTGAAGAGACTATTCTTTTTTTTTATTATTTATTTATTTTTAAATATATTTTATTGATTTTTTACAGAGAGGAAGGGAGAGAGATAGAGAGTTAGAAACATCGATGAGAGAGAAACATCGATCAGCTGCCTCCTGCACATCTCCCACCGGGGATGTGCCTGCAACCCAGGTACATGCCCTTGACCGGAATCGAACCTGGGACCCTTAAGTCCGCAGGCCGACGCTCTATCCACTGAGCCAAACCAGTTTCGGCGAAGAGACTGTTCTTGATCCATTGTGTATTATTCTTGGTTGCCTTGTCAAAGGTTTGTTTACCATATATGCATGGGTTTATTTTGGGGCTCTCTATTCTGCTCCATTGGTTTATGTGTCTGTTTTTATGTTTTATAGTATTCAAAACCATACTGTTTTGAATACTATAACTTATTATATAGTTTGAAACCAGGCACTGTGATATCTCCAGCTTTGTTGTTCTTTTTCAACATCACTTTGTCTAGTTGGAGTCTTTTTTGGTTCCATATGAATTTGTTTTTGTTTTTTAATTTCTGTAAAAAAATGCCATTGGAATTTTGATAGGGGTTGTATTAAATTTGTAGATTACTTTGGGTATTATGGGTATTTTAACAATATTAATTCTGCCAACCCAGGAATACAGTCTTCTTCCATTTCTTTCATTAATGTCTTATTTTTGGTGCACAGGTCTTTCACCTCCTTTGTTAAATGTAATCCTAAGTATTGTTTTAGAAGCTATTGTGAATGGGATTATTTTCTTAATTTCTCTTTCAGATAGTTTGCTGATTTATGTATGTTGATTTTTTTTGTATCCAGGAATTTTACTGAATATGTTGACTACTTCTAACAGGTTTTTTAGTGGCATCTTGAGGTTTTCTACATGTAAGATCATGTCATCTGCAAACAGATAGTTTTACTTTTCCCTTTCCTATTTGGATATATTTTATTTATTTTTTGCCTAATTGCTCTTGTTAGGTCTGTGTTGAATAGAGGTGGTGAGAGTGGGCATGCTTGTCTGTTCACTATGAGGTATGATGTTAGCTATGGGCTTGTCATATATGGCCTTTATAAGGTTGAGCTACATTCCTTCTATACCTAATTTGTTGAGAGCTTTTATCATGAAAAGATGTTAGGTTTTGTCAAGTGCTTTTTATGTATCTATTGAGATAATTATGCTTTTTACCCTGTATTCTATTAATGTGATATATTACACTTATTGATTTGTATATGTTGAACCATCCTTGATACAAAGGATAAATCCTACTCATCACAGTGTATTGTCGATACCAGGTTGCTACTATTTTATTGAGGATATTTACATCTGTGTTCACCAGGGATACTGGCCTGAATTTTTTTTTCTTGTAGCCTCTTTGTCCTTAGGGTAATACTGGCCTTGTATTATGAATTTAAGAGTGTTCCCTCCACTTCACTTTTTTTTGGAAGAGTTTGAGAATGATTGCTATTAATTCTTATTAAAATGTTGGTAGAATTCACCAGTGAAACCATCTTGTCCTGGATTTTTCTTTTTTGGGAGACTTTTGGTTACTGATTCAATCTCCTACTTGTTATGGCTTATTCAGATTTCCTATTTCTTGATGATTCAATCTTTTTAAGTTGTATGTTTCTAGGAACTTTTTGTTTGGTTTATTTCTAGAAATTTAGCCATTTCTTTCAGGTTATCCATTTGTTGATGTATGATTGTTCATAATAGTCTCTTATTATCCTTTGTATTTCCGTGGCTAGCAGTTATAATGTTTCCTCTTTCATTTTTGAGTCTTTTCTCTTTCCTTAATTTGTGTAGCTAAAAGACGCTCATTTTTTATCTTTAAAAAAAAAAAAAAGATAAGACCTCTTAGTTTTATTGATCTTACTATCATTTTTCTAGTTCTATTTCATTTATTTCTGCTTTGATTTTATTATTTGCTTCCTTCTGCTAATTTTATAACTGTACCATCATGTTCAAAGGAAATAAAAATCTGGCTCTTGCTTATCCTGGTTGTGATTTGAAAGGATAGACCTTTTTCCTAACGTTCTGGGCTTCTGATCTCTCTTCATTTCAGGAAGTGCTGATCCTGAACTTCTCAATCCATCACATAGAGCAGTCTCTTAGCTTTCATAGATAATCTTGCACAAAACTTGAGTGAATTGGAGAGTGTTCAAGTATAAGAGACCCCTGACTGCATAGCTATAGAGAAATATTTTTAAAACTCAGACATTTATTTTTAGATGATGTCATGTGGATGAAGTAGATCATGCGACTCCCACAAACAAGGCACTTGGGATGGTGGCGGTGTTAGATTTGGCTCTGACGGCGGCCAGGGAGGCTGAGCTTCAGTGCAGATGCTGCCCCTGGTAGTCTGTCCTGAGGCAGAGGTCAGCCACCAGCCAGCCACTGCGGGCCAGTGTTCAGCTCTGTGTCAAAGCTGTTTGCCATTAAAAGTTTCCTGGACTGCACCAAGTGAGAACTTTGGTCACTGAGATAAGAGTAGCCAAGAGTAAATTCCAGAGCCCATCATTTCCTTCCTTCCTTCCTCCACAGAAAGGCAATGGGAGTGGATCCAAGCATGCAGGAACTGGAGGCATTAATAGACAGAATCCAGAAGCAAGTGAAAGACCATCCCTGCAGAGATAACATTCGAGAGGCATTCCAAGTTTATGACAAGGAGGCGACAGGATTCGTGGACAAAGAGGAGTTCTTTAAAATCTGTAGCACTCTCAGCATCCCAGTTGATGATTCCTTGACTAAGGAGGTCAGTATGAGTTCTTTTCCCAGGTAATTGCAAAGCTGCGCACCGTTCATTCTCTCTTAAAGACAATTAAATATGTATTTCGTTTTAACTGGGGAAGATCTAGGGTATTCAAGCCAGGTCTCCTGTTCAGTCCTGATTATAGTTTTCCCTTGATTCATTGGCTTTCTGTTCTCATTACTGTTGCAAGGCATCTGTAGGTGGTGTGGGCTAGGCAGCACAGAGGTTAATAAGACATGTTGGGGCTGAAGGAGGGCAGCAGAGGAGGTCCTGGAGGGGCGGCCACCCAGGGCAACTCACAGACACTGGGCTGAGTGGGTTGGTGGGCAGCCAGTAACATCCTTCACAGCGATAAGTACGTTAGCCCATCTGGAGGACTAGCATGGAAGAAGGCGTGACTGCTGCCCAGGGACAGCAGTCAGTAGGGGCCCCATGGCGACATGGACATTCTCCTCTTAGAAATGTTCATGAGTTGAAGAGAGCATTTCATGCCTTTTCCCCTTATAGACCCCTTTAGCCAGATCCCTAGAAGTCAGACAAGATTTTTGCCACCTTGCCAATGACTGTGACTTACTGTCAGTGAGACATTCTCATTGATTAAGAAGACTGAGATGCTATAGACCTTAAAGATCTTTTAGCAAAAAGGAATGTTCAGAGGTAAGATTCATTTGGGAGGGCTTTTGCTTAGGGCTAAAGTGACTAGGTTGGAGACGAGGATATTTTGTAGGCAGGGACATTAGCTAGGAGTGTGAGAGACAGAAAGAAAGGTATTTGCTCACATGGGCCAAAGCCCATTTAGCTTCCCAAAGCTCAGATTGACAGCATCCCCAGATTTTAAGTCATGTGTATTGTGTGTGAGCTGACATGAGAGAGAGGCATTGCAGCCAGTGGGAGTGGGACAGGGAAGGTGGGTGGGGTGGATTTGCACGTGTCTTATGAAAGCAAACACCGCAAGTCAGTCTACTATCACAACTGAGTTTCAGGGGACAGGTTTGGGCAGTGACATAGCTAGATTTTTCTTAGATGGCCATAACACCAACTTGCTATTTTGAGTCTTACTCTGCGCAGACTGGGTGGACAAAGCCTTGTCTTTGAATATAAAAACAATAAAAGTTGCTTTTTTTTTTAATAACTAAAAGTGATAGTGCCCTTAAAAGTGCAAATATTGGTTCTGAAATCTTGGCCAGGCCATTTACTCCACCTGAGGTTTGATTTTACTAACTGTGAGAGGGGGTAATATCCGACCATGCACTGGGTTCACAGGAGCACTTCAGAACCAGGTGAGGGTGTACAAACTGCACTGGTTGCAAAGGTGGGATCAGTGTTGATAGGGCCCTGCAGTGACGCAGCAGGCAGCCCTCATGTCTGTCCCGCCTGCTCTCTGTCTCCCCTGCAGTTAATCAGGATGTGCTCTCACGGAGAAGACAAGATCAACTACTACAACTTTGTCCGGGCTTTCTCAAACTGACCAGGCTGAGGAGAGGGCCCACTAGTGTTTTGAGGTTGGACCTACACTTTGAAATATACCGTGTGTTCTTTGTAGAGGCTTGAAAGTATATTCCTTTCTCTTTTGTTTCTTATATTTCACTACTTCTGAAGTCTAAGTTAGATGCATCTTGTAAGAAGATCGGTGCCTTATTGAGGGAGGTAGAGATGGGGGTGTTGTGATGGTTAACTTTATGTGTTGAGCTGACTGGGCCTTGGGGAACCTAGATATTTGGTCAAATGTTATCCTGGGCATCTGTGAGGGTGTTTCTGGGTGGGATGAACATTTGAGTTGGTGGACTGAGTAAAGCAGGCTGCCCTCCCAGTGTGGGTGGACCTCTTCCAACTCATTAAAGGTCTAAATAGAACAAAAGGCTGACCTTCGCGAGTAAGAGTGAATTCCCCCTGCATGCCTTCAAACTGCAACATCAGCGTTCTGCCTTCTGACTCAAACATTAGAAAGCCTGCTGGCCTTCAGACTAGAACCACACCGTCAGCTCTCACGTCTTCTTGTTGACTGACTGTAATCACGTGAACCATTCCCTATAATAAAGCTCATTCTTTCTATATAGATCCCATTGTTTCTGTTTCTCTAGAGAACCTTGACTAATACAGGTGTACAATGAGTAAGAGCAGAAGAAAAGATAGAATTGGCTAGAAGCATCATTTGGGGTTTTGAAAATAAGCACACAGCACTGGTATTGCTGCTCGGCCAATGCCTGCTTGCCCCAAGATTACAGGGAAATACACCACATGTTTTTGTGAGATGGTGGGTGGCTTACAGATTTAAGGCTAGTAAAATCTGCCTTTGTATGAATATTGGCTTGTGAGTTACCACTGCTCAGGCCCCAGGTCTATACTTTATACCACCAGAGGGCCTTGAAAATACCATCTAATTAGGGGTTCAGATGAATGTGTCTAATTCATCTATAGGTTTGGAGGGGATCTGGGACTAGCTGGTAAAAAAAGATGTTTCTAAACGTTTCGAGAATCGAGGGTCCCTTGGATGCGTGGCTTCTGAATATCCTGCTGGCATGTATGTTCATGAAAAAAGATTAATCTATTGAATACTTTATTTGTACCATGGACTTAGCATTCACTGTCCCTTCATCTTACCACTCCCACTCCCTGCAAAAACAAGCAAGCAAAACCAACCAACCCCAAACTGTAGAGCACAGGGGAGCAAACAGCTCAGAATGGTTACCTGCCTTTCCATTCTACTGTCCTGCCTCCCCCTCCTCCCCTTCCGGAGAGCTTCACCGCTCGACTGCCAAATCTGCGGTCTCCACCTGGTTCAGGGACACCAGAAGCTGGAAGTCACCTAGCTTCTCATGGCAGAGCAGGACTGCAACCTGAGTCTGCACCAGAGTCTGCCCTCCACCAGCACCTCTTCTGCGCCTCAGGCAAAGGTTCCCTGTTTAATCCTCATTCCCTGTGGTGTCTGTGGCTAACGGCCACTGTAATTGCACTCCTGTCCTGAGCTCTCCCTGAAGATGGTCTGGAAAACACAGCAGACAGCTGCAGGCAGTAGACCATCTGCCCGACACCAGCAGTCCCACTGCCCACATGATCACGAATACTTGGACATGTGTTCACTACCAGCACAAAAACTGGGTGGCTCTTACTTAACTCCGTCTTCTCCAGCCAGACAACGTCATAACGCAGCAGACATCAAGCTCGGTGTGCTTTCCTCTGTGACGCTTCCTACCCACAAACCCATGTCGAGACCACGCCTTTCCACTTCGTACCTTACTGTTATAGACACTAATAAAAATGATGCCCGTTATTCAATATAATCTTCTTCCTCTTCCAATTCCCCAATTCATGTGACACAACAAACATATAGCAAAAGATATACAAGAAATGGTTAATAAGAGTGAAAACTATTAGAAATTAGACTAAAATTGACACACTCATTTTTTAAAGTAAAAGCAAAGGTAAGCATCCGGATCAAAAAGGAATATAAGGAATTGTACCAGAGACAATTAGACTGGTAATTCTATGCCTTTTTATTCAGTTATTTCAAAAATATTTGCTGATCATTTTTTTCAAAATGTACATTTAAAAAATCCATACAAAACTGTAATTGTTTTCAAACCAGACAGAAACAGTGGAAAAAGGGTTTTGAAAAAAGTTCACTGAAGGTAAAAAACCCCCCCCCCCCCAAAAAAAAAACACGAAAAAAAACCTAGAACCTTTTACATGAGCATAAATACGGCAGGCACAAAATTTCCTTGAGTTCCTTGCTGAAATTTGGTCCATAACATGAACAGGCCAAAGTAGAAAAACAGACACTTTTGTCCACATTTGCATTGTGAGTTGCCCAGGGCACCAGCAGCCTCAGCTTATCATCCTTCAGATGTTTATTAAACAAGAGGAACTGAAAAATGAGGTTTAGTCTCATCCATAAACACTTGAATCTGTACCCAAGGAAGTAGTGGCACTTCCAAGCACAGGTGGCACCTGCCAGGTGAACAGGGCTGTTCAGCCGTGGCGGACTCAGAAAATCTCCACGTGAGCAAGAAACTCGAAGCTTCCAGGCAGGGTGATGGCGATACCTCGGTGTTCCAGATCTTATTCTCAGACACTGATTTATTAATGCCCCTTCATGAGGATAGTTTTTTTCCTTTTCAACAGATTATACAAAAATGATATGGACTTCTAAGATGATGCTACAATGTTCTACTAGAGTGCCACAGAAACCCAGCCAGGATCACGAGAATGACAGCAACAAAGGGAAAGTGGCTACCAGTTCTTCTGTAGGGGACGACTGCCCCTCCCGTGGGTTCCTTCCCTTCCCGATCGCAGGGCGTTCTAAGGGACAGCAAGGCCTGTGGACTGACCACTGGCTGGGAGGGTTATTGCACAACCCGGAAGAGCAAGGGAAAGGCAGACAGGCTTTGGGTGTGGGGAGGGTGTGGGGGCGGGTGGTTAGGGTAGCTGCTAACACAAGGTAACACTGAATTAGGAGCTGGAAGAAGTTCTGCAACAGCTGACCTAGACCCATAGACCCATTGTCCAACAGGGATGTGTGAGTTTAACAATCGTGACTGCAAAGTAAACACCTTTGTCATATACACTTTGGGTTGAATGGGAAGCAAGACCAGAAGAGGTTTTAGCAAGGTACCCTTCTTTATAATCTGGGGGGTGGCGGGAGACAGACTGGAAGAGCCGGTCTCACCATGTTGGGGCCAAAGACATACATGGGCTTAGTGCCCCTGCCCTCTGGGCTTCCCTTCACAGGTATGAACAGGTGGGAGGCACCGGTGCCTGCAATGGGCCTCCCCTGGCTTCCCAGCCACCCAGGCCCGAAAACCAACTCCATCGAGAAACCAAAAACAAAACGGAATAGACCCCAGACCCTAACACAATGAGGCAGGGGGTGGTTGAGACAAAGGAGGCAAAACTCTCACAATCAGTATCCCTTTTACATGTGACTGCCCCGGGGCCAGTTCCTGGGCTGCTCCTGACAAACAGCCTGGGCCCTGGCTCCCGGCCCAGGACCACAGGGCAAGTAAGGCACTTCTTACAGAAACGAATCTGCTGAGGACGAAACTCACATGTGCTGCCCAACAGGCTACCTGGAGCCAGTGGGCCTGGCGCTTTTCTGAGGCCTCCATAGAAAGGTTGGTCGGGGGTGGGGACACGAGGCAGCAAGTAGGTCCTCTTCAGCCTTTGGGGAGGAAATGGGGGTAAAGAGTGAGACGTTGGTAAAGCCTTCCTCACGGGCCAACACAGGAGGGAGAGGGATTCTATTTAGGCTCCAAGCCATCCGACAATGACCCACGTCTGCAGTCGTGCCCAGAGTGCCTCCTGACAGACGGGGCTGTGAGCTGGGAGGGCAGGAGCGGGAAGGACCACACAGTTGTCTGACTCTCAACACCCTCTCCAAGGAACAGCAGAGGCCTATGCAGAACAGGAGTGGATGTCCGATCACAGCCGAGGTCTTAGCAGGGAGGGAGTCACACCCTGGCCTCCCTGCCCTCTCACCAGGTCTGGGAAACCACCTGGGCAGGCTGAAGCCTGAGAAAGAAATCCAAACCAGTCCCCAGCCCGCAGCCAGACACCTCCAATTACAAAGGCCTCTTGGGAGGGGATGCTCTGCCCCTACCTTATTCACCACTTAGCCAACTGTCGAGAGGACTGAGGAGGGTCCCGCAGGAAGGCCCAGCAGCACACGCCCTGGGACAGCACCCCGGGCTTCAAGGCGCCCAGGTCCGAGGGGCTGCATGTGCAGAGGCTGGAGCACAGATGACAGTTTTGGTTTCTGAAATGTTGTGACTTCAGACAAATGGAAAAGGTTCTCTGGGCAACCACTTCGCTCTGGTGGCCCAGACACTCAGGGTTAGAGCAGACTAGAGGGAGCAGCAGCCACCCCCCACTCCCGCTCAGCCTGCCTCTGCCCCAGGCCTGCCGCACCTGCAGCAGGGACACATGCAGCTTATTAACAGTGCAGCTCCCAGCCTGGGTGGTAAGAGCTCTCCCACCACAGAGCTCCAAGGAGGAGGGCGCAGCACGATCCTCCATCCCAACAGTGTGGCCTCCCTGCTTTCTCCTGCCCCCAGCTGCCTGGGGGCCGCCTCCACCTCATGGGGCCACTCAGAGAGGTGGAGGGGCCGCGGCTGCTGAGGTAGACTGGCCTGTGCCCTCTTGCTCTGGCAGGTGGTGCAGAGCTGGTTTCCCCAATGTGGGGTGTCTGACAGGACCCCCACAGAAGGTGTGGTATGCTGGGAACAGAAGAGAGTGTTTAAGACGGAAAGAAGAGCCAAAGTGGCCAGATCAGGACGAGCCAGCACAGCAAGCTCACAGGATGAGGTGGGACTGAGTTGTTTAGCCCCTGGCAACATGGTTTGGGCCAACTGCCAAAGACCTGGCTCTGCTCTGAAAGAAATGTGCCAGGGACCAGTGGGATGACAAAGCTCCCCACATATGGCCCTCCTACCCCCTCAAATCGCTCGTGAAGCCCAGCTGGTGAGATGCTAGCCTTGTCTCGGGTTTTTAGGGCAGAGAAGGTCTGACTCTCATCACTGCGCCTTAGGAAACGGAGCCGGAGCTGCCGGGTCACGGGGGTGGT